ACTATTATGCATTGTTATGATACTGTACATGACGTCCTCCACCCCAGAACGATCCGCTGTTCCAGTTTTGGGGTGTGACAACGACTAAAAGCGTCAAGAGATAGACAAAAGAGCTACGCTGATAAAAGACAAAAACCCTTGGAGTTCCAGGTTGGTGACCGTGTTCTGTTGAAGGTCTCACCCTGCAAAGGCATGTTACTCTTCGGAAAGCGTGGAAAGCTGAATCCAAGACACATTGGACCATTCGAAATCCTCGCTAGGATTGGTCCCGTATCATACAAACTTCGCCTACCACGAGAACTTAGCAACGTACATCCCGTCTTCCACGTGTCGAACCTAAAGAAGTGTCTGTCCGATGAGACACTTGTGATACCACTCGACGAGATCGAACTAGACGAGAGCTTACACTTTGTGGAAGAACCCGTCGAAATCATGGATCGGGAGATCAAACGAACAAAACAAAGTCGCATCCCGATAGTAAAGGTTCGCTGGAATGCCAAGCGGGGACCCAAATTCACTTGGGAGCGCGAAGATTCAATGAAACAGAAGTACCCACATCTATTTCCGAGTCCATGATTTTGATTTTGTGTCTGAATTTCGGGACGAAATTCCCTCTAACAGGGGAATGATGTGACAACCCGAAACTTTTTCCGTTTCTGTTACATGATTTCCGTTAATAAAATTTGGATTTTATTAGTTTTCCTTCGAACTTTTTGTTTTAGAATATCATCGGGTGCTATATAATTAAATTTATATATGCGAGTCGGAAACCAAAACCGCGTGAAACTCACTTTTCTCGAAAAATACCATGTTCACGGCCTGACTGGAGTTCACGGCCGTAAACCTGTTTACGTCTGTAAACTCGTTTGCGGCCAGCGTCGGGTGGACCCCACCCACCGACCACAAAATCTGCTATAAATATGAGACCCCCACCCTCATTTGAACACTTCTGACCGGAAACTCTCTCATTCTCTCTCTAGAACCCCTGGCCGTAAACTCCGAAACACCCTCTTTTCTCTCTAAAAATCATCAAGAAACACTCCTGGAGGTTGTTTAGAAGCATCTAAAACACGTTTTCATCGAAACCAGCGTCACTGTTCTTGAGTTTACGGTCAATCTTCATAGACCGTAAACCCGTTTATGGCCAATCTTCAAAGGCCGTAAACCCTAGTTCACGGTCGTAAACTGTCTGCCGACCGTAAACTCTCCTCACGACCGTAAACTCTCCTCACGACCGTAAACTCCGTTCACGGCCGTAAACACGTTTTAAGTGGTGCAGTTGTCTGAAAACCCACTTTCCTCGATTCGATCGAGTCCCGGTAACATTCCTGAACCGAAAATAAGTGTTTTTCTAACACTTTATCTAATGAAATCACTAATTTAGATACATATATGTATTTATTTGATATTAGGATTCCGTTAAGTGCCACGTATAACCATTCGAGGATCTTCATTTCCGGTCGACGTTTTCACACATCAACGGTGAGTTCATACCCCTACGCTTTTCATGATTTTTAAACGTTTTCAGGGGGGATACAAGCCAAACACAAACGATTTTGTGAAACTAATACGAAAGGACTTTTAACAAGTATAAAACTTATGCAATTGATACAGACAAACGATTTTCACGTTTTTATAAAATATTTAGATATTTTATCCCCTTTTGTACTATGTTGAGCATAAGGGGCGTTTTCAACGTACAAACATGATTGCATAGTGTTCAGAACAATATACGAACCAGATATACTATATACATGCAAACTATATTAGGTATAGTTTGGGGTTTTCATTACACTGAGTTATACATTGCTAAACATATAAACTATGACAAATTTAGTTTATGACATACATTACTACAAGAGAATAACATATAATAATTATTTAAGTATAGTTATTATCATACACATTATACATACAGAGTTCAATACAGTAGATCACTACAGAACCACACGTAAACTAGTTAATACAGGATTGTGAGATCACTCTTCATTTGTATCCTTCGGGGTACTGGAAAAATCATCAACGTATAGTGTAACCAGAGTCTCCTGGAGGGAGAGCGTGAGATTTGTGAATAGATCTCTTCGGGACTGACAATCCCACACCTAAACTGCTATTTACAGTTAGGCAGGCATGCCTGGGGTGATAAATATCATACCGTACGACGCCCGAAGAACGTCGCTGAGGTCATCAGTCATATCAAGCATGGTTATACGACTCACAATAAGTATAAACTAACCTATGTTTACAGGATTTCATTCTTCATTAGTTTTATTTTCATTAATATAACTATTATACATTACACTGGAGGATTCCAGGGATACAACAACTGGTTTTATTTTAAATAATGAAACTACTATACATACTGGTGATAGCCAGGGTTTTCAAACGGAACATACTATACATACTGGTGGTAGCCAGGGTTTTCAATACAACATACAATACATACTAGTAACATCCTGCTTTTACTAAAGAAAATATTGGATTTTCTTGGAAACGTACGAACAATTTACAAGATACATCAACAAGTTTTCACTACAAAATATAGCTTATGAACTCACCAGCTTTATGCTGATACATTTTCAAAATTGCTTGTATTCTCAGGAAATCAGTAGACAGGTACCTTCTGGAGTTTTGAGAAGACAAGAGTATGAAGTCATGTCTTTTATTTTACTTATACTTTTGATGTAATCAAACACGTGTTAAACAGATGTAAACCTTTTCACACATGTATTCAATGTTTGGTTGTGTTTACTATGATTGCTATGATACAATTGTTATGATACTATACATGATGTCCTCCACCCCCGAACGTTTCCACCGTTCCGGTTTGGGGGTGTGACAAAAATTAGGGTTTCAGCCGTCAACCATCCAACACAGCGATTCAGTTTTTTTTTCTCGGTTCTAGACGAAATGGCAATCGCAGCCCCCTTCCATTTGTTTCAATAGATGCAGGTATGAGTATGATTTTATTCCGAGTAATATGGGTTGAAGAACAAAATGAAGAGTAGTCCTCCTCCTCTCTCACGCTGGTATGAAAAAAATTATTGATTAACACAACAAAAATAGGGGCTTGGCTCTATGAGTTTCTTATAATGCTTTAAAATTGGTTTTCTTTATTTGCTTCTAAAAATAAGGTGATATAGATAACATTTACTGTTTTGGTTTTGCTAATATCAAGTAAACACATTATTGTTTTGGTTTATAATTGATCACCTTCATGCAGACCTGGAATCAGATTCATAGGAAAAGGTTGTGCACAGAAGCTATTTAATGAATTTTGTGAGAGATATATGGGTTTTTATGAACGTCCATTGGAATTGTTTGAGAAGATGAAATGTGAAGAATTTGAGCTAGAGGAGAATGAAAAAATGTATTATATTTTGATGTATTCATCTATGATAGAATGTGTATTCAAATATGAATAGTAGTGTATTCATGTGTGAATGAGTGTATTCATGTTTGAATGAGTTAATATTTATGATTAGAGACATTCATTTTATGAAGAAATATTAATTTTTACATTATTTTTTATTTTGTATTTATTTATGAATAGAAGTGTATTTATTTGTAAATAACAGTGTATTCATATGTGAATGGCTGTATTTATTTTTGAATAACATTGTATTCATGTGTGAATAACTGTGTTTCTTTATGATTAGAGATATTCACTTTTTTCAGTAATGTTAATTTTTACACTATTTTTATTTTTATTTGATGAAAAAAAAGGCATTGGATTATTTGTAAATTGATGTATATTCATTTGTGATTAGAGTCGTATTAGGGTTTTTGAAGAAAAATTTCGTTTTGGAATAGAAGTTTGATTTTGGATTAGATTTCTATTCATTTTTTTTAAATGTGAAATACGAGCAAAAAAAATTTATATTTTTAAGAAAAATAAATAAATTTTTTTCAGTTTTAAAATAAATTTTGGCAAAAATGTTTTTATATTCCATTAATAATAAAAATAAAAATCTAATATTTCTTTGCTTTTTGGTAACTGATCCTAAATTTAAGGGATTTGATTGAATTTTATTTTATTTTAATTTAATTAAAATATACAATTACTAATATACCCTTATATATTGATTGG